TATCATTATATTGTTATTATTATTATCATTATTATTAATTCCTACACTGCTTTTTTTTTGCTAATTTAATTTGGACGAATATTTAAATTATATTCACTGCATTATTCTTTTGTTCCATTCAACAGGTCAATAAAATCTCATTTTTGACTGATTTCATCTCTCATTCTTATTTTACACCTTCTATTAATAACTCCCGTTAATTGTGGTAATGAGTTATAGCAATCCGGTTCATGCAACTAACTCATGCAAGGTCAATTTTTTCATATTTGGATAATTCCAGGCAAGGGGCGGTATTTGTATAACCGTACTTAGATGCATTGTTTCATTGTGGGCTGGGGCCGTATTAATATGTGAGTACTAGCAATTGGGTGTTTTGTGGGGTTGTGTTGTTCATCTGGGATTTTGGTTTATGTTTGAGCTTGGCTGTATGTGGTTGTAATTCACTAGTCTAAAATAAGAGATTGTATGGGTATGCTAGGCGCAAATATGGCTTTTGCACGCGATATTTGCGTATTTGTGCGCAAACTTCATTGATATTTGGCCATCGATAGTGCATATTGTCATGTCGATAGAGGATTATATATTACAAAAGTGTTGGTTGATTCAGATGGTTTGAACTTAAACCATTGACAGTTTGATGAACGAATGAAATATAAGGATGGAGTTGATTTCGGTTATTTCTTCCGAGAAACCATTTGCATTCGATATTTAGTTTCATCATCGTGAGACAATAGATAAGCTATACCAGATTAGCATTGAGTGCAATTCCGCATACAAGACATAATTGAAATTGTTCGTTTAGTTTTACCCTTCTCTTTTCAAAATACTTTTACTGCAATCAACTTTATCGCATACTTATCGAGGACTTAAATTATTTTCATATATTGTCATCTATTGTTATCATAATATCAGGGGACTTTATTTGTGGTAGTAGGTGGAATTTTTGGAAAATCAGCAAAAATGTTGATGCCAACAAAAAATCGAAAAGCTATTTATGAATATTTGTTCAAAGAAGGCGTATGTGTAGCGAAGAAGGATTACAATTTGAAGACACATCCGGACATACCGGATGTAACCAATTTGGAGGTGATCAAAGCCTGCAAGGTGGGTTATTTTTATAGTTCAACTCTTCATCCATTCGTGCACTTCGAGTTTTTCTTACTAACAATTTTTTATATGCACAGCTTGATTTTTTCCACTTTGCATTGTTTCAGGCATCACATCTCTGTCAGATAACTAGTGTTAAACTAGTTATATAGTGATGAGAAAGTGTGCATGTGCAAGATTACATGTAAGTTAGGCGTCAACATATGAATCAACTTTGTGCGGTGGAAAAGTTATGGACATTGTTCCTGTATAACAGGAAAATATTTTAATCGGACTTTTAAATTACAGAGTCTTGCTTCGCGAGAATATGTCAAGGAGCAGTTTGCTTGGCGCCATCATTATTGGTATTTGACAAATGAGGGCATTGATTATTTGCGCGAATATCTTCATTTACCAGCTGAAATTGTCCCATCTACCGTCAAGGCTAAACAGCGCGAACCAAGGCCTGGATTTGAACGTATCCCAAGAGGTTGATTTACTTTCTCATCTTCAGATATACAGTTAGAGAGAGAGGAAGGAGAGAGAAAAATAATAACCTGGTCATGATTTTCGGCTCTTCACCTAAATGCTTACTAAATTTAATGGCTTTCTGAAGAGTAAATTTGTTTTCAGGGCCGAAAGTAGAAAGCGATAGAGATGCATACCGAACGGCTGAGAAAGTAACCGAAGCAGGTCCAGGTGCAGCCCCAGTATCAGGTTATCGAGGTGGATATGGTCGGGGTGCAGGAGCTCTACAGTAAGACTATACAAAAGATGAAAATGATTGAAAATGTTGTTTGTTACTGTTACTAATGAATAAATAACTCAAAAATGATGTAATTTTGTGGTGCACTAGCAGAAGTATGAACCGTATTGCTGCGTCATTATTTCAGATTTAGCATTTAAGTAATAAAATTATGATTTGACATTCGAGCAGTGGATATGTGTGATGTGTTAAAATGGAAATTTATATTTCGGTCGTTTGTTGGTTAGTGTCGTTGGATTTGAATTAGTTATACTATTAGGGGATTGCGAATGAACTGCAGGAAGTTGTTGGTCATTGGGAAAAAGGCAAAGAGCATGGGAGGCAACATTTGATTTATTTGTGTTTAATGAGATGAGTCGGAAGAGAGCTCTGTTTTACAGCAGTAATGGATGTTCCTGGTCCGTCACTCTCGGGTCGCGAGAAGCATCATTTGGAGACGTCGGATGCATCATCGCTTTTCCTGCTCAAAGGTGAGTTATATCGAAAAATCAACGAGCAGCGTCAAAAATCTACTACAGCTACAGCGAAAGTTCCCGGCAAGAAGGTATGCAGCATTTTCGTATACCTGTTTCCTGAAATCCAAATTTGAGTCCTCCGATTCATCGGCTTCGTAGAAGGCTGGGCGTCAAAACCACTTCAAAATCATGGAAATGACTTTACACTGATTGTAATACGTTTGGGTTCGCAGGCAATTTGGCTGAGATTTGAAAGATTGCTAAACTTCAACTGGTGTCATGAAGAATACAGTATCTGCATTGAATTTTCCTGTAGAGTGTTCTGCGAATTAACAAGGAAGAAGAAAAAAAAATTGCGGAAGAGAAGCGGCAACGGGAAGCACGCATTCGTGAGCTAGAAAAGTCTATAGCACATGATGAAGAGCAAAGGAAAAGAGTGCAAAAGATACTGGAAGAGAAAAGTGAAATTTACGCTCGTCTAAGTCGAGGTGAAGAAGTGTTAAATGGTTCGTTTGATCGTTTCTTTAAACCAGTAACTTTTTTTTTTTTCGAAAACTCCGGAAACGGAAAGTAATAAACAATAAAGCAACGTATTAAGTGTGCTGTGACAAGTAGCTACTTAGGTGTTATTTAATGCAATACATTAGCTAGTGATTTCCGAGTAATAGTATGCCTGTTTATTTGCACAATTTATTTTCATTTTGAGTGAGTTTTCAACAGTACAGTGGGATGAATTGTGTTGAGAGAGTTCGATAGGTAAATAATACATCAAAGGTTTGATTAATACTTGATGGAATGTAGCTTGAATTACTTAATCTATCTCAATACAATGTAAGTGAAGGTTAATCATTTTTTGGTCTTATTGATGAATGGATTACTCGACAGAGAAATAATGATTTAAAATCAAATAATCAAATCAGTCTTGTAGTTCAGGTGACAATGAACCAGTAGAATTCTTAGTGGATTTTAATGCAAAGAAACGTGAGCAGGAAGAGCAACGTTTGAATGATGCTGAAAAAGCAAAAAATGAAAAGAGCGAAGCAATACACTTCAATCCAAATGAAGGTATATATGTGCTGTAATTGAGCAAAGCTGTTTCATTTCATTTTAATTATTCTAGCTGTTAAAATTTGAAATACAGTGGTTGTTATTGGTTTAATTCCTACCAAATTAAACCCTACCAAACCACTACTAAATTATTCATTATTTTCCATTAAGCGTTATTAGCTTATAATTATTCTGAGGCGTTTTTCCTTGTTTTAATCATCTAAAAAAAGATCTCCAAGTAACTGTTTATTTAAAAAATAAATTTAGAACAACGGGTTTACGGTGTGTCCCATGTTCCGCTCCCAGTCAGCGAAACGAAAAGACAAGAACAAATACAAGAATTGCTTGAGCTAAGTAAGGTAAGGGGGTCATAATTAAAGAACTCAGTTCGATTTTTTTTCCCAATTATATTTTCCCACTTGCTTTTTTTTCAGTAGTTATTTTTCATCTTTAGAAAACTGAAATCAATCGAGCGAAAAGAAAACAGATACTTGAAGAGCGGGAAAAAAAGAAATGGGAACAGTTGAATAGGGTCCGGAAACGGAAAGGTCTGGAAGAATTACCCCTGTGGAAATCCGAAGGTAAGCATTTTTATTTCAGATTTAAATTTTATTGTCGGAATATGTAATGGTAAATACAATGTATATAATTATAAATTGGGAAGGATATTTGCTCCTTACTTCATGATAAATATCTCATAGAAATTTCGACCGTTTAACTTATTTCTTAACATTTCAGATGACAATGAAGCGAAGTTCCTTGACATTCCTCTTCCTGATCAGGCGCCAATTGAAGCTTGCGCAGGACAGTCAGAACCGAAAAAATTCACTCCTGTTCGCGAATGGGACCGTGGAAAAGGTATATATTTTAGAAGCTAAAAAAAGGGACATCAGTGTAATATCTTAACTATTTCCGATTGGTTTTGATATCAATAAGGGGGAAGCACTTATTAAAGGATTTATCATATTTGTGTAAAATTTCTTATTTCAGTCCTTTATGATAGATGGATCACAAAGCAGCGTGATGAACGTGATGATGAATTTGCACCACCTTCGAGCTACTTCAAATAATTGATAATTGAGCGTGCTGCTTCTTTCTTAGGCATTTAAAAATTTGATGTTATATGCGTGTAGATCATAATAAAGGCATTTGACAAAGCTGATTATCTTTTGCCAAATGTTATTTCATTCAATATCAATATTCATTTATATAATTAATACACAATCAATTTGTCAAGTATGCAGTACATTGTTGAAGTTTTATTTCGAAATGATGAAGTGCTTAAGATGACTTGTAGAGGTCCACTTGTAGGTTTACATCTTCCCATTAAATTTTGAATGAAATATACAAGTCATACGAGACCACTTTTTATGGGCGAATAACTTTTGTCATTTGAACAATAGTGAGGAATTTCCATGACAGATTGAAGATCTGTTTTGGAGAACTTGAATGGGACAATTTCAGCATGTAACGTTTTCTAATTATTTCGAAACGTTCTTTATTCAGCAAACTGCTTGTGGTCCTTCCAGTTGGAATTAGTTCGCTCTAATATTTCTAAGATATTGTTAACGGATTCGACTAATATATTGCGGAACGTTATGTAGTATTGTTTTATGGTATTAATTGGATTTTTTCTAAAAATTTTTTATGTGATGGTATCTTAGAGTTGAAATTCCGGGTATTTTAGGATGAACTTTAATCCAAACTTTGAAGAAATAGGGAATGCTTTTATCCAACATTATTATTCGAAATTCGATGTGCAGGATCCTGCAGCACGAGGTTCAGGTCTTAGCGATCTTTACGATCCAATGAATTCCTACATGACGTTTGAAGGTGTACAAGTAAAAGGACGGGATTCTATTTTGCAGAAATTTGCTGTAAGTTAATTTTTTTTTTTTTTTTTTTACAAAGAAGAGGTATTAATTTCTTCATGGAAACATAGTGCTAGTTAGCTGATCAGAAGAGAAATCGTGTATCTCTCTTCTGATCAACTCATTATCTACTAAGAATGTTACCTGCGTGTAAAATATATAGTAACATGGGCTTACCACTAGCATATTATAGTATTTCCTCGATGAATCTCGATATTTCGGGTTCCTTCGTTAAGCAAGAATGAGGTACACTTCATTTGGAAAAAACGCATGCTCATTTGTGACTACCAGCAATTCTTTTGCATATAAATATTCTTGTTGATGTTACATTCTTGTCATTTCAGTTTTTTTCTTGTTTACAGGAAGAACTAAATTTTCTGTTAGCGAAAAATTGCTAAAACACGATCTGCTTTTCAGAACATTAATTTGCAGTTTTATTCATATATTTACATGCTTACCTATATACTTTATAACTGTACTGAAATAAAGGATAAAAACATCATTTTGCCTCTTTGTTCTTAATATATTCCATATTGCCCTTCATTATTTTTCTTTCAGGCCTTGCCGTTTAGGATGATACAACGGGCAATAACAAAAACAGATTGTCAGCCACTGCCAGACGGGTCCATACTTGTTGCAGTCATTGGACAACTTAAGGTTGTCTCTTTCTCTTTTTCGTATTTTAGCATTCGATTTCTAATTTAAAGGAATAATGCTGGTGATGGAGAACTATAGCGCTAGGTGTAAATAAATCTTATGAATAAAATATATGACATGGTCTAATTATGTATGCACATCATTTATATACTGTTGAAATTTACTTTTTCTTATGTCTCTTTCTTGGTTTTTTCGGATCAGGCAATTCGCAATTTGCGCTTTTCGATTTAAAAAATAGTTCGATGAAGTTATAAATTGTGTTGTTGGAAAAGAAATTTTCGTTTTATTCGGAATTTTTTTTCTCCCATAGGATCTGACCTAAATGTTCCATCGAATAGTAATTATAATAGTTTGATCATAATTAAGCGAGCAAAAAACGGACAAATACCGCAGAAATTCGTCAATACTTTGGCTAGATTTTCTGAGGCAAAAAGTCTAGCGATTCCTAAACGTGTGGATTATGGGGGATGATTTGGTAGTTTTTGTGAAATTAATGGATCGTGCAAGGTGGTGTTTGTCGTCAAATCTCGCAATCATAAGGAACACTTTAATATGTCAGACATTTCCGATGTGTTTCCTGTTGAGAAGAAGATCGTATGGTTTCAATAATTTCTTTTTTTCCAGACTGATGATGATCCAATCCAATCGTTCAATCATTTTTTCGTACTTCGTCCTGCAACTGGTTCATTTTTCATTTCAAATGAAATCTTCCGCCTAGTGTTACACGATCACTAATAACAGTATGATATGCCATTAATGCTTTCTCTCTCTCACTTTCTCATTTTTTCTTTAACATAATTAAATATTTTTCGTTGTTTTCGTCAATTTACATTGAAATTTATATTGAAGTAAAAAAAGTGAAATGCTGCCTATTGGTGATATTTATATAAATTGAATATTTTATCGTTTTAACGTTACGGTTTTTGTTTCCTTTGTGTGAATGAATTCATACTTGATGGAAATTGAATTAGATTTGTGGCTAAAATTTTGAATACATGTTAAATATATATTATATCAGAACTTATTCATTATTTCTTTCCCTTTCTCAAAAAGAGTATAAGATTAGAAACGTCTAGCAATCTTTTTTTTTTCTTGTCCATTCATGGATGGTTACTCTTGATCTCGCAAAATACTGACAAGATGAGCTATATTTTCGATCGTGATCTCTTTGTCAAATTTTGATAAGAGTTTGTCATGAAACCCCCTGTTCTTTTTCACAACTCCATATATTTGTTCCATACCGTGATTGGTTATTTTTTTGTTGCATTAATTTTCAACTTTAAAACATTTTCACAGTGAGACTTTGTGCTCAATTTTTTTCATCAATCTGTTTGATTTTTTTGACGAGAGAAATATTTCCTCGTTTGTTAGTGTTACAGTGCGTGATTTGTGTTGTTATCGGTAAATGTATTTTTATAACAATTTTTATAATATTCGAATGACAATCTATTATATTCCTTAAATTTCTTTTGAAATTTTTCGTTTGAAATTCATGAAATACATGGAAGTATTCAGTTCCCATCAAAAGATCCTTTAAATTATAACAACAAATTTATTTACATGATAATTTTTTGACTTTTTGCAAAATTTTACTAAGGTTGTATTACCTCAGAAAATTTCTAAATTCCTTAAATTTAAAATAAGCCAGACCATAATTCAGCTGTTTTCTTTTTGTACTACATTATTCATACAAGTTAGATTTCTGTTGAATGATACAGAAGATTATTCTTTATGATTCATTTGCCCGTTTTATTTAAGACTGGATACGAGACAATTGCGATGTGATATTATTGTCGTAATTATAGTCAGATTATTGAAACGATCCTGATAAAAAAGGATTTCATCTAATCATGAATGATGCGAAAAAGACTAAACATTCACTTATTTCTAGTGTGATTTGTTGTATTGATGAAAAACAGTATAATGTTTCTTGGATGGTGATGAATCTAAGTGGAAAATCAGGTAAAGCTGCAACACGTGGTCAAAAGCAGATTTATGAAGAGAATCAAACTGTGATATTGCATTACTCAATTGCTTCCATATTTTCTTCGGTAAGTATACACTTAAAGTTTTTATGAGAAGTTATTTTACGCAATCAAAAATGGCAATGTTGTAACTTTTTTTTTCTTTCGGTCAAACTTTGAGTTTAGCAAATTAGATTTCAATAAAACGATTTATGCTTTTAAAAATGCAATTGATTTGGTTATAGAAAGTACGATTATAGAACTATCAAATATTTAAATTGCAGATAACAGATCATACAAGAAATACACCCTTCTATCGTTTAGTAACATATTCAATTTTCAGCAGTAATCCTAATTAGGTTGCAAGGTTGAACTAATTGAAGTAATTTGTAGTAAGTTTTTCGGCTTTCGGTTTTTTTTTCTTCTTCTACTGGGCTATAGTTTAAGTTATTTCATTAGGAATTCACAATTGTTTATTATAATTGGTTGTTCTGGAACTGAGCCATTGACATATGTTGCAAAAATACCAGTAAGTTTTCTTGGAAGAAGTTCAATGAAGAAAATCAAAAATTATTTAATTCATCTGCTTGCTGAGGGGGGTATGGGCGATTCGAGTTTGATCTTTGTTGACAAATTTACCGAATTTCTTTGAAAATCTTGTGGGAATATGCTTCGTTATGTTTTTATGCCACTCTAACCCCTAGGATATTTTATTAAATTTGACGTTATTCCACGGGGATTGAACTACATGGGAAATTTCTATTTTTTTTTACTCTCTTAAGCTACAAACTTCATTTTATTTTTTCATCATATAGCAGTAATGATCAACTCTTACAATTAATGAACATTTATCACTTTCTATAACAAATTAAATAATTATCGTCCACGATTTTAATTTCTCAAAGTTACGTTTTGCAGGCTTTCTACATACTGATTTCGTTACTTTTCTATCTACGAACAACATGGGAATGGGTACGTTTACCAGTTTACTTTTATATGTCTAAATAATACAGCGCCTCGTTTCAAATCTTTCTGAAAAGTAACTGCCGTTTATACAAATCTCATAATTAAATCTGCCTTATACGTATTTTTGATCATAATATATAGACAGACTTCATGTCATCATCCGATCATAGATTTCATTAATGAGGAATTTAGCATAGTATTTTTAAACTCAGTAAGTCTTTTTTCTCTCTCTCTCTCTTTCTTTTTGCACAAGACTATCAGTTCAAAACCATTTTTGAAACTTCTCGATTTTCCCGATATTATGATGATTACCAAATGCAAGGCAAAAAAATAAATAGCAATAACAATAATATTTTTGATGGTTGGGAAGATTTTGGAGTCGCCTGAGTTTGATAATCTTTGATTTAATATTGTTTTGGAAATAGTTATTACCAACGATCACGCTTTTATAGCTTGGATTTTCGGTTTGTTGTATGCTTCAAGTAGCAGCCATTCTAACTATGCGTTCTATGGCACGATGTCGTCGTAACGAAAAAGGTCAGGTAACGGATGCTGGTTCAGACCTTAATCAACCGGATGGTTTTGGAGAGTTAGTGTTTTGCAGGTTTTGATTGTGGATAGTGAAATGTTTCATACGGTGTTTTCGTCTATATTTAGATCATCTCTAACTTGTTACTTTTGCTCATAACTGATTGAGAGGGAGGGCAAAATTTTTAAAAGGAAGATAAATTTTTCCAAATCTTTCAATTTTCAAGTAAAATTTCTCAAATTAGTGGTAGTTATTATTATTTCAGGTATTGTAAGGATGTAGTGATTTTATGTTCATTCGTTGCAATAGCATCAATCATTTGGTCTAAGATTTTATGGTTATTATTCTTAATTCCGACTTATATACTATACAAGCTATGGAAAGTGATCATTGCACCGTGGTTTTTCGCAGAACCACTAGAGCAAGAAGACGAAAAGAAAATTAAAAAACGTGAGAAGAGACTTCGCAAAGCATGACATAACCTTCCTATTATATATTATGACGATATTTTGAATTTTTTGGGAAAAAATATATATCTGTGAACTCGCTTCATTAATAAAAGTAAATGTTTATGACTTATGATAGTAATTGACATAAGAAAAAATTCATCTATCAATGAAATATGCAAAACATTTTGAACTATAAATTCTACACATTGTATTTAAAAATATTTCATATTCATTTTAGTTGATTTTTTGAAGTTTTGAGGATTTTCTAACGTACTTCTGTTTATCGAATATTTTTTGGAACTTGTTTTGCTTTAATTTTTGCAATTCTTTATCAATAAATGCTATATTTTTAATATTCACTAAATAGAAATTGAAATTTTCAAATGTTATTGCGGATCATCTAATTTATTATTGTTGTTAATCACTTTCCAGTAGGTTGCATTTCTTTTTAAATGGTTTACAATTTGCTGAAAATGTTAACGAGTTCTCATAATTACTATGTTTCATTTTTAAATTGTTAAATACACCTACAACATTCTTTATAAGATGTTTGAAATAAAATTACATATCATATCTGTGCATTCATTGTTTTTTTTCTTTCCTTTAATTTCATGGGATACGTTGTTAGTAAAACATTTCCACTTTCTAGATTCTATTTCAAAATTCTAAATTATCAACATTTCTTTCTAGTAGTCTTTTTTCTACTAGTATACTTTCTAATCGCTCTTAATCTTATAGTATGTTATAGTTGAACTTTGTTGTAACTCCAATAACAGTACAAATTCGTATCCAATCGGATGATTTTTTATTCTTCTTTAAAGTGGATCATAATCGAGCAATAAATTGAGCACTTTTTTTTTTTGCAATTTAAAAACTAATATTGTTGACAATCAGCTATGAATACCAATATTTCCATAAATGAAAGAATTATTCTGAATAGGTCAAGTTTAATAATTGCTTAGAATTTAAGGTAGTTTATATTTTCTAATAATTTTTTTTAGAATGGATATATATGATAATTATCCATCACATTTGTCAATTGCCTGTAGTGAGCTGCTACCTCGAATCCAGAATCAAAGTTTCGCTGTGGATACATATTTTTTGCAATCGGTTATCGATCGAATTTTCAATGATCCACAAATCGATCTTTTATTCGTTTTGTCACAAGCAGGAATAAACGATTCTGGAAATGAATTTAACCAAGTAGTCGAATTGATTGGTGTAAATTCCGTCATATTCAAGGTAAACTTCTTCCACCTTCTCTCTTATGTCTTCGAAATAAAATTTTTACTCAGTGTTAGCGGTTGTGATAATATCTGAAATTATATGAATATCTCACTAAAATTCTAGACCAGTGATTTGCAAGAACTAAATTAAATTCTGTGAGTTGGCGAGGCGAGTTGGCGAGTAAGTTGACGAGTGATAGGTAGGAAACAGATAAGGGCTGTTCTTATCAGTGTTTAGTAATTAACATACTGAAAGTTTTGGACGAAGTATATTTTCAAATTAATAGGATTTATTATTTTTTAAACTTTATATCCATACTACAAATAAAAAAGCCAAGATAGTCTTTGGTCAAAAAAAGGTTTGGAACTACTGTAGATGCTTTTATATTGCAACAGCTAAGATGAATGTTTCTTTGATGACGAGCTGTTGATTACTATTGTGTTTGCAAATCAAACTTAATTAGCAAATATAAATCAGAAGAAAAACATTATACATATCATTTTTCAGCTCTTATTGGAATCAAGCACCGAATTTTTCGAATACTTTATGATCTCTTTTTGCCGACATTTGGAGCGTAGTTCGTGTATTTTCCCATTGCAAACGGTGCAAGATAGTGTTTACATGAGACTTCTCGCCGATTATGTTTGTTTTATGATGCCGGTGAATGACGAAAATTCAGTTGCTGTAACAGCGAAAAAAATTCATCCTGAAAATACAATGAAGAATAGTTATAGTACACCATTAAATCTCTTTAATGAAGTATGTTTGTGAAATTTTTACTGCTAATTTCAGTTGTCGTTAAAGTTACCATTTACTTCGTAAAGACGAAGATAATTGCATGAGTACACCAACTGTAGCTTTTACTTCTGCTTTTGCAAATATCGGCTGTTCCATTATGTGGATTGTTAATGGTTCGAAAAATTTAATTTTAATTAGCTTATGTTAGATAATGCTAATATTAGTAATCTTACTCGGAATAAAGTCTACTGGACTTCACTTCAAGTTTTTGGAAAACATGTATCAGCTACCTATTCTCTTATTCCCGTGTACATCTAGATTAACGCTGGTACTCAAATATAAAGCAAGATGAGATATGGGTTCGGTTAGTTTTAAGTTCAACTGTTTATTCTATTGACATTTTCAGTTTCACTATCAGGAACTCATCAGACGAGGTTTTTCTGTTACAGGAATATCAGTTATAATTTCTAAATGTTGCAGTGCTGTTTCACTTTGCTTACAATTATCAATTATAGTATATATTTTATATATACTATTAACTTCATCGTTACAGGAAGCTTTAAGACGATATGCGCTTTGCCCATCATCACATTCCATTCGAACCTTGCGAACTATGACACAGTCTATTTCACCACACTTCTTAACATTCATATGTGTTCTTGTTCGTTCATACTGCTCGTTATCAAATTGGCCAACTGATTATCGTTTTATGGCCCTAAGGTTAACTGTGATTATATTTGATCAGTTCAGTGTTCAAAGATCAATTGAAATTAGTCCAAAATATAGGTTGTATTTCTCTTCCTGTGTTTCTTTTTCAGTTTTGTATCCAATATAAGTGATTTTTATATGTATTCTTTTGCAGCATTCCCATTTCAGATTTGTTCTTAAGGAAATTCATGTATTTGCACTTGCTGAATCAGATGATTTCAATTTTTCCCAATCGAAACTTCAATTGCAATGGAATGCACCATTTGCGGATGAACTTTTTGATTTTTTCTTGTCGTTATTCACTCGTTGGCCACCAAATCCGTCGTTCACTAATCTTTTCGGTTGGTCTTCACTGACTAATCATTCATTTATATATTTTCTTTACTATTCTCTACAAAACACTTATGAGTTTGAATTATACTTCCAAATCTAAGCTTTTCTGCGATAGAATTGAAATAGAAATTTCGAGATAAAAATCCTCAATTTATGTTGTGAGCGTTATATTTCAAAGAATAGGGTAGGACATGGTCTTCAGATTTTCAGATGTATGGATTACATGGATCCGACCATGGCGTTACTGTGGCAATGATCTGCAACGTGTTATGCCATTTATTCGTTCCAATCGTCGTTATTATATCGAATTGTCAGATGCGTTTTGGCGGCGGAAATTTTCACTTGAATGTACACAAGATGTAGAAAATTTAACTTCGTACATTTGTATTCTAACTTCTCCTGATATGCTGGAGGTAAGCTTTTCGTAGTTTGAGATCTAAATAGTTTTTAAATTTGGATATGAAAAGGTTATGGATGAAAAAAATATGAAAAATCACCAGTGGTGCAATTTGAAAAACTGGATCTTTGTTCACTCTTAGCTTCCTCTTGGGAAATTTGACCTTAACACTTTATGTGGGTTAAGAATGGCAATAAGTAAGGATAGTACACTGCGGAGCATTAATCAAGATTATGTTTTTCTTATTTAAAGGATAGGAAGATTGTTTTTGTTCAGTTAGATTCATTCAAAGAATCCGAGATTTCTCAAACAAATAAAGAGACTTTTATTTAAATTTAGCGAATTAGTAAAAGAAATTGTTCAACTTAGTAATTTTACGATGCCTATGTAGTATTACAACTTTATGCAGGTCTACGAGGCTTTGGAATATAATTTGGAGCCAAATGTTCTTACTTTAATGAATTCATTGAAAAAAGGCGCGGAAATTTTGTGTTTGAAAGTGCTGAAAAGTGAAGAAAAGTTGGAAAAAGCAAGCTGGTTTCAGCGCATGTTTTTCTGTCTTGGTTTGATTTTGCTTTTAATCATTCTTTTATTTACTTATTCCTACGTAAAAAGGGAAAATTTTTCACAAGGTAAAATGTTAGAAAAAACCGAAATGATTTTTAATACTCATTAGATGAGATCGTAGCAATTTTTTATATTTATATAAAAAAATATTTTACCTTGTGAATTACCAACGTATGATGAAGACTAATGTATTTGAGATTGTCGTTTTTATATTTTGAGATACCAAGTTCTATTTTACCTTCACCATTATTTACTGTATGTTCCAGGTGCTAAGAAGTCATGTGACGGGTAAGAAGGGTAAGACGCATGAGAAGGAAGTCTCCCATCCTTTTTATAATTTTTATAAATTTTTAATTCTCAATTACGACTGGGGATTTGGATAGAAAATTGCCATTAAAGGATGGAATCTCAGTTTAAAAAAAAAGTCAGTTTTACCAATAAGTGTTCATAAACCCATTAATTTGAAATAAAATGTTTTTACAGATGAGGAATCACTGTTATTGGAACAAAAAAGACTTTGGAAGCATTGGAGAGACTTATTTTTAGCGCAAGCAAAGCCATGTCAGAGTCGCAGAATATCACTTTTGTTACGAAGACAGTTACAGCAAATGAATCCTCTATCAGCGTTGGAAACGCTTCTAATTCACATAATTTATTGAATTCTTCTTCGCCACTTTCACGAAAGCAGACTCCTGACCACTACGTTGATTCAGCGACAAAACTGATGTATCTTACACCACTTGGAAGAAAGCAGGTGAGCTTCTCGTTTCAAGAATATATCCAAAGCATTAATTCAAAATTTTAAAATGAAGGTCGAAATCAAATAAATTTTGCTATATATGACTTAATGTGGGTTGCGAGTAGGCAACGAGATAGTGCCGCTAATTTTTGAGTAATGGCAAGAAGTCCAAGCCATTAACAATTTTCAAGCAATTGCTTGGAACGAAATGTTGAGGTAGCACTTCTAATCATCTTTTAGCTTTAATAGTAAGCGATTTCCTATATGGTGCTAAAAATAACAGTATTGATAAGGAATAATTTAGGTAGATAAAGAAAGGACTTTAGATATGAATTTGCGAAAGAATTCCGTTCGTATCAAAAATGTATTTGAAAATTCGTAAGTCGGAAGTTTTCAAATTTTGCAAGATTTATAAATTTGAATAGATTTATAGGTTGCTCAAGGAACGCATAGTTTTGATTATTCAAAATGCTGGAAAAAAGCAACACCACCAATCATTTCATCACTTCGTCCTGATGAAGTCTGGTGGTTATCCAGATTACTGTATCGATTTCTAGAGCTGTTAATCGCACCAATTTTATCCAGCATCTTTCGCAATGCTACGGAGATTTTACACTAAATGGTTTCATTGCTCGACTTTTGCTTGATCCGGAATATCCAAATGTCTCTGTTCCAGCACATTCATCAGTTATTGCATTTCAAAAACCATGCCTTAATTTACGTTATCTTGCCTATTATCGTAATCTGATACCAATTTGTGTTTTCTTCGTCTTGCTCTCTTTCCTTCCCTTTTCTTATTGCTCAATAACATTATTTTGTATGTTCTTGTACAGTAGATTTTTGCCTTAAATTTGCCCGATGAATTAATGATAAAAGGAAGGAGAATGTAGAAACAAACGTATCGAAAAGAAAGCATTACATTTAACTGAATTAAGCTTATTACATATATCAGAAACTTTGAGAAGTGAAATAGATGAAAATGGTAAGTATAACTTATTGTTACTGTTAATCGATCAGGGAGATATTACTTGTTTGCAACAAATGATCCCAGTAAATGTGGATAAATACATTAAGTTTTGTACTATCAAAATGTTTTGTATTGTTTTAGCATTTAAAAATTCGAAGTTTTATCAGTATGTTACATGAAAATTAGATTCTTTTTTTTCCCGATCTCTTCTTTCAAATATCGATGCTTTCGTGTTGGTTCTTCTGAATTGACATCTGTATTCCAATAAAAGTGACAATTTTTTAGCATAATGAATGCACATATTGAACCGTTTTTTTTAACCGATTTATGATTTTAAATTTATTTGAAATTTATTTTTTTTTTTTTTTGGTTTCAGAAGATTACCATTCGTTTTACTTAGTTTTTTTTTTTTTTTTTTGT